GGACTTCCTCGCAAGGCAAGCAACTTAATGGAGAGAGCCTCTCCGCTATGCGGGAGACTATGACAAAGCTCACATCCGAGCTAGAAGCGGCCAAGGAAAGAGAAAGAGTTAGAGATGCTCAATTAATTGGCTTGCAAGCTCAGATCAGAACTCTCCTATCTACTGGAGCTTTTTCGTTGCCCCGGTCTCGTGAGTCATCGCCACGTGATCGTTTCTCCCTTCCTGCTCGTGATCGTTCCTCCCGTCCTCCTTGTGGTCGTTCTTCCCGTCCTCCACAAGACCCTTCTCTATACCGTCTTGTAGATGAAGGTTCATCAGACGGTGATAATGATGCTGTACAAAACACCCCTTGACTTTTATATACTTTGAACTAGACAAATAGAACCAGTTTTGAACTTGTTGTAATTAGTTTTAACTTGGTTTTGAATTTTTATGTTCAATTGAACTTTAATTTGTTGCTGTTGTTGTTGTTGTTGTGTTGTTGTTGTTCTGTTGTTGTATTGGCATGTGCTGGTAGGTGGTGTAGCTACCAAAACAGGCATTTTCTGCCAAAATTATACCTAGAAAACCGACTAAAGTTGGTTGGTTTTTTAATAATAAAAAAATTTACTGCAAATTACCGACCAAAGTTGGTCGGTATTTATTAAAAAAAATTGACAATTACCAACCAAAGTTGGTCGGTTAATGAACAAGGAATTTCCAGAATTCAACATTACTGACCAACTTTGGTCGGTATTGTTAAATTTTAATTTTTTTAAAAAAAATATATTTTCTTTTACCGACCAACATTGGTCGGTATCTTTTTAAATTTAATAATTAATAAAAAAAACATAAATTGCATACACCGACCAACTTTTAAAATATGTTTCCGACGGAAGTTGGCCGGTAAGTCATTAAAATTCATCAGATGGTCATTTTAATATACCGACCATCAAAATAACGACCAAGCATATTTGGCCACGTTTTGGTCGGTAATTGGCCATAACCGATCAAAGTTGGTTGTTTAATTTTGGTCGGTAATTACCGGATTTCTAGTAGTGTCTACCATTTTTTTTTGTGCCTTGCATGGGGAGCCTTGGTGTAACTGGTAAAGTTGCTGTCATGTGATCAGGGTTCAAGTCGTGGAAACAACCTCATGTGATCAGCCTCTTTTTTATGCGATTTGTCTTACATTTACCATCGTTAACCTTTCGGTCTATAAAAGTCCCCGTTGTTATCTTTTATCTCAAAACATGATCATATTTCATAAACAAACAATGTTTTCAAATATTTTTTGAAAAAATGAAGCCAAAATCTATGGCCAAACGAGAACTAAAAGTTTAGTCAGTATTATATTGTTACCTTCATCCTCAAAGATTTGTTCATTTCAGTAAGAGATTCTTCCTGTACAAGAAGCAAATAGGAAATGTCATATTTCCTACACAGTTGAGCAAATAGTAATATCATCTTTGATTTCTTATATATGAGTATACTATATGTACCTTTTGTTGAAGTTCAGTAAGCTCATCAATCATGTGTTGTGTCTGAAAACAAGTTTAAAAAGGGACCTTAAGACCTTATAATTTGATAATTAAACAGCTATTCTTCCCTTTTGAATATGGTAATATCAGGGTAAAAAGAGCCAAAAATATTGTTGGTAAATACCATTTGAAGTGCATAGTACGTACCCTAGTTGACCTTATTTGCCTCAATGATGAATCCACTTGTCGTTCAAGCTGTTCCAGATCTTTTGTGTTCAATTGTCCCAAATCTTCTCCAAGAATATGCCTAACGAATATGAAAAAGTTAAACGGTCATACATTATCCTAAGTTGCTCGGACACGGGTGCAGGGAAGTCGGATCCTTTGAGATGTAAATTCTAAGATTCAGAGATACGGAACGGATACGGATGCACGGATCCGGCTAAAAATAATTCAAAAAGATAAAAATATCTCAAAATTATGAGAAATTTTGGAGAATAATTACGTATAGTTTGTAAAGTATAGAGTTCTTTTTTATTCTCAAGTTGTAGATAAGTAAAGGATTGATTTCCTAGATAAGCTATGTTATTTTCTTCCCTAGTTTGGGTTCTGATTTCGGAAAATCAAATTGTATCTCGGCTCGAAATTTTCCGTCTGTCGTGGTTAAAGTATCCAAAATTGTTTGACCAGATCCGGTACGGATCCAATGCCCACACTCATACTAGTGTCATGTCGACATGGGTGCGGCACCTAAACTGCCATGTTGGAGCAACTTAGATATTATATGATAAATGAAAAATATATATGGAGAATGCACCATAGTTGCTACAATGTGACCAGGAGCTACGTCTTGAGTTTAAGCTATGAAAATAGTCTCTTGCAGAAATCCAAGATAAAATTACGTACAATAGAAAAGAAAATATGGTCAGAACCATTTTTGGACCCACATATAATAGGAGCTTAGTGCATCGGCTGCCTTTCTTTTAAATAGAGAATGCAGTGCTCTAGAGTTAAAAATTATATCTATTCTTGATCTACTCAGTATTTAACTCACCTTTGAGATTGTTGTAACACTTCCACTCTTGTTTTAAGTTTCAAATACTCCTGGTACGTGTTCTGTTTTCACAAAAGCATAGCAAGCAAATCAATTTGCTCAAAGTTAGTAATCAACATTAACTTTTACTAACTATTTTCAGGTGAAAAACTGAACTATTTCCAAAATTTTCAGCAAACTTTAGTTTGAGCAATTATCATGCTCGAGGAAGAAGAACGAACCTGTGAATCTGTTGAAGGTTGGCTTCCTTCCACTGCAGCATAATTATATTTGTGGTATTTCTCCACTGTCTTGGACATACTAGAAAGGCAAGTTACAGAACAATAAGACATTGAATCAGATGTATATATAACAACAGTCACAACTATAAATAGACTAACAAAAAACTATGGTATCTCGAGATATGCACTATGCTCTCTCGCGATTGTTACTATAATCAAAAGACTAAACGCTCCTACTAAGATAGGTGGTCGCCAAATTACTACTGAAAGTTTTTCCTTTTAGAGCGTTAGTCATGTAGGGTGATTGTGCGTATTAGATGATACGATATACTATTTCTCGTGTCACAATTTATATGTCATACTTTTCTTTTTAGTCTGTCTCAAAAAGAATATCATGTACTTATTTAGAAATATTTTGAATTATCAATATCTAAAAGAATATCATGCACCCGGTGTTTACAATGAATTATCAATGTCTTAGCATACATTAGTTCAGGGGCGGCCCTACCCTAAAGCAGGTAAAGCAACTGTTTTAGGCCTCACATTTGTGGGGGCCCCATTTTTTGTTACACCTAATATATTATATACTCCATATGTTTCAATTTAGATGAGGTTGTTTGACTCGCCACAGAGTTTAAGAAAAAAAAGAAGGCTTTTAAAACTTATGGTCTTAAAAGCTTAAAGGGTAAAAGGATTTGCAACTAGTATGATTTCTGCCAAGGAAATTGCATCTGAAATGAAAATCAAACCTAAACTTCATAAGAAACGTGTGATATATAGAAACAAATAATTTACCAAGAATATTGATATTCAAATCTCAAAATCTCTCGAAGAGTACTTTAGAGTAAATTGTTTTTTATACATAGTAGACAAGACTATTTTTTTCACTTCAAAATAGATTTAAACAATTCGAAGCATATGAAAATATTTTTTTGTTTTCTATTTAACGTAAAACCTGAGATCACTAGATGATGAAAATTTATAAAAATACTGCTTTAATCTTGAGTGTTCCTTGAAGCATAATAATCAATCTGATATTGATGGTTTATATTTATTTTTTAAATTAAAAGTGTTAAGAAAAATAGTACAATTAGAAGATAATAGTTTAATTAATATACTCAATCAAATAAAAAAATTTGATACTTTTCCAAATGCTTATATTTCTTATAGAATAATATTAATAATTCATGTTACCGTTACTTCAGCAAAAAGAAGTTTTTCGAAATTAAAATTGATAAAATCTTAACTAAGCTCAATAATGTCTGAAGAGAGGTTAAATTGATTAACTGTATTGTCAATTCAAAAAGAATTATTAGAAAAAAATTGATTATAAAAAACTATTAATAACTTTATATATAAAAAATAGAAGAATGGACTTCAAACTAAAAAAATAATAATTAAAAAAATTAAAGCCCTCGTAAAATTTGGCTTTAGACAACAAAATTCGTCGGACCGCCCCTGCATTAGTTTGATGTAAACTTTCAGATGGTGGTTGTTTTGTCCTAAATATATCTTCTTGACATATTATATATAGTATTAGTATGCATGTAGATGTCTTAGTGTTTATGCATACAAGAAGCTTCCAACTATATGTTTCCTTGTTACTGCTGAAGTGTGTGGTCATTATAGCCCAAAGTTAATGTTAGAGTGAGTATACTTTCATTTACTTAATTAAATAGTCATCATCTAAGAACTTCATTAATGTTTTTGACCTAGAGAACTAGGACATATTAGGCATATGTTTGTTACTTGTTATTTCTACGCGTGCCTTACTTGATCTTGGATAAATTAGGGTTATTACTTACATATTAATCACATCTTGATTATTGTTATTAACTAAAAGAGTTACATACATTTCAACACCCTCATTTCTGCTACTTTTATCTCAACTCCTAAGAGAAAAGCTCAAGATTTGGGTAAGAAGTTGCTGGTTATGGGGGCCTGAAGGAGTAGTGGAGACGCGAGTAGTATGTGGACAATGACGGAGACCTGTACTAGGAAGGCTACGAGTGAGGTGTTAGAGGTCTCGAAGAGTTACTTTGGCAGTCAAAAAGGGGATTGGCAGTGGAATAAAGAGGTCCAAGAAAAAGTAGAAGCAAAGAAAGGGGCGTATTTGAAGGTAGTGGAGAACACAGACGAGGAGTAGAAGAGGACGAACAAAAAAGGGTATAATAAGACTAAGACGGAGGCAAAGTTAGCGGTCACGGAGGTTAAGACTGCAGTATTTGGTCATATGTATGAAGAAATAGGGACACATGTGGGGACAAGAAGCTACTCAGGCTGGTCAAGGTGAGATAAAGGAAAGCTCGTGATCTAGAGCAAGTTAGGTGCATCAAAGATGAGGACAGACTAAGCGAATATGTCAAACTTATTTTCATAAACTCCTGAATGCAAAAGGGCCAGGAACATTATGCTGGGTTATTTGGAGCACTCCGAGAGTCATCGAGATTTTAGGTATTGTAGGCACATAAATATTGAAGAAGTCGTGGGGCTATGTGTAAGCTGAGCAGGGGTAGAGCGATCGAGCGAGATAAAATCTCAAGGGGATTCTGGAGTCACATGAGTAGGGCAGTCTTGGAGTGAGAAACTGAGTTGTTTAACATAATTTTAGGACGAAGAAGGTGCCCGAAGAATGAAGGTGGAGTATGATGATCCCGTTGTACAAAAACAAAGGTAATATCCAAAGTTGTAACAACCATCCAGATATCAAGTTGCTTAGTCATACTATGAATGTTTAGGGGAAGGGTGAAAGTGAGGGTAATGAGGACTATGTCCATATACGAGAACCCATTTGGATTCATGCTGAGATGTTCGATTATGGAAGTCATCCACCTTGTTAGGATGTTAGTAGTACAATACAAGAAAAAGAAGAAGGATTTGCATATGGTGTTTATAGACCTGGAGAAAGCATACAATAAGGTCCCAAGAGAGGTTCTTTAGATATGTTTGGAGGCAAAAGGTGTCCTTATATCATACACTAGGGTAATTTAAGATATGTATGATGGAGCTAAGACTCAGGTGAGGACAGTGGGGGGAGACTCAGATCATTGTTCAGTTATGATGGGGTTACACCAAGGATCTGCCCTCAGCCTATTTCTATTTGCCTTGGTGATGGACGCACCATAATCAAGGTGAGGTACCATGGTTTGTGTTATTTGCAAATAATATAGTACAAATTGATAAGACACGAGTCGGTAGTAACGGCAAGCTGGATGTTTGGTGACAAACCCTAGAGTTTAACGATTTCAAATTGAGAATGACTGAGATAGAACTTGGAGTGCAAGTTCAGCAATGTGATGGGGGTTGATCTAGGCTAGAAACCTGTGTTTTAGCCGTGATATTACATTCCAATGATTGCATTTTTACGTGCGTTTGAGCTCAAATGATAGTGAATTACACTTAGTACATGTTTTATGCCTTGAAGGAAGTGATTTGTAGCTCAAAAGTTAATTTGAAGCTAAATTGATCAATTTGGAGCTTTGAAGTCTAAGTAAAAGCCCAATACATTAAGCCTGGATCGTGTTCGGGGGTCGTGTACCAAGTCTGGATGTTAAAAAAGGACGAAATAAGTTCACTTTGAGAAAATTGCAATGCTGCGACGCATGGGGCACCGCAAGATGCGGCGCAACAGTGTAAAATGTTGCCTGACTCAATAATAAGAGGCTACAGATAAAATGCACTAATGCGTCGCACAGTGCGGCGCAGCCTGCGGCGCGGCTGTTCAATTTTTACAGAGCTAAGTCCTAGTTCGCGCAGAAAAGGGTGTTTTCGTTTGGGCCCGACTCTAATTGGTATAAATACATGTAAAAATGCCATTTTGAAGACTTTTGACATATCTTAGACCTAGGGAGGCTATTGTGGAAGGGAGAAAACATTTGGAGCAATTTCCGGAGGAGATTAGCATCAAATTCTTCATTCCTTCATCTTTTCTTTGTAATTTAATTATGCAATTTATTTGGAAATTATGAACACGATTATGAGTAACTAAATATTTAGTCTTATATTTTGATGGAACCTATTAAAGGATGAATTCTTGTTATGTTAATATAGTTTGCATGGTTTAATCTCTATTTGTTCAACTACGTTCTTATTGTAGATAGTTGATAGGATCCTCAATTAGCTGTGCCTATTTAGTATGCATAACTCGGGAGAGAGTGCATATTTAGGTAATTGTTGAACAACACCACTCCTAGAGTATATGAGGGATCAATAACCGAGGGTTTAAAGGCGAGATTAGGGATAACGAAGCCTTGGGTGCAATTTAAAGTGAGCTGTAATAAACAAAGCCAGTCAGCATAACTCGGGAGAGTGCGTCTAGTAAATTGTCGTGATTACTCGAGAGAGATTTACGGTAATAAGAGTGCTCATGATTGATATAGGCGATTAGGCGAATCTATGTGAAGCATAACTGGAAGGGATTCCATCAATAGGGGAAATTATAACCTTAGATCCTTCTCTTAATTGTTTACAACTTAATCATAGTCAGTCTTTGTTTACTTAATTGCAGTCATTCATAGTTAGTAAAAATATCCTTAATTGTTATTCATAACATTTGGGAAGTTGATTACATAGAATTTAGTGAGTCTGACAAGAGTAATTGATAGGTTAATTTCTTGTGGGTTCGATTCTGGGCGAAATACTCAGATTATATTTGCCACGTCCGCGTGTCCTTTGTATAAGGCATAGTTGGGCGTGATCAGGGGTGTATATATGAATGTGAAGCTTGATTCGCAAGTCATCCCCAAGAGACAAAGTTACAAGTATCTTCGTTTATTGTCCAAGAAAATTGGGAGATTAACGAGGATGCCACACATCGTATAGGGGTGGAGTGGATGAAAAGGAGGTTAGCCTTGTATGACAAGAATGTGCCACCAAAACTACAAGGTAAGTTTTACAGAGTGGTGATGGCTAAACCGACTATGTTGTATGGGATAGAGTGTTGGTCGGTCAGGAACTCTCATATCCAGAAGATGAAAGTAGCATACAGGAGGAGGTTGAGATGGATGTGCGAGTATACTAGGTTGGATAAGATTAAGAATGAAGATATCCGGATAAAGGTGGGTGTGGCCTCCATAGAGAACAAGATATAGTAAGTGAGACTTAAATGGTTCATGCATGTGAACAGGGAGAAGCTTAGATTCCCAAGTAAGGAGGTATGAGAGGCTGGTTTTGGTGGACGTGAGCAGAGGTAGTAGGCGGCGAAAGAAGCATTTGGGAGAGATGATCAGACAGGACATGATGCGACTTCAGCTTACCGAGGACATGACCTTTGATAGGAGGGTGTGAAGATCGAGAATTAGGGTAGAAAGTTATTAGGTAGTTGACCATTTTTTTCTGTACTGGGGTTTTTAGGATTAGTCTGATAGTGTCTTGTTCTTAGACTGTTAGTATTACATGATATTTTCCTACTATCTTCCGTTTCAGTTTACTTGTATCTTACCGTTATTAGTGCTTGTTGCTATTGCTTCTTCCCGTTTATTCTGCTGGTTCTTAGATTGTTGTCATTACCTTCTAGCCTTTATGGTTGATATTGCTTATTTCTAGTGTTGTTGTTCAACTTCTTGAGTCGAGGGTCTATCGAAAACAGTCTCTCTACCTCCTAAAGGTAGGGGTAAGGCATGCGTACACATTACTCTCCCCAGACTCCACTTGTAAGACTCCATTGGGTTGTTGTTGTAAGAGAGTTACATATCAGTTAGAGCAATTTTTGATCTATTAGTCACGATCAATTCGAAAGTTTATAATCTTGTGTAAAATAATCACCAATGTTGATAAATGTTCATGTTTCCCTTTTATTTGATTACTATTTCTGTCAATTATCTATTTCACCAACCATGACTCTAAACGGACCAGTGATCATTGACTTTACTTAACATATTCTCAATAAATTCTTTTTTTTTTTTGTTTTGTAAATAGAAAGATAAACGAAGGCATACTATAATCTTTTTGATATTCAATCAACTTAAGATTCAAAACTAGAAAATATTAGTCCTGCGTTTTACAATGAAGATATGGTTTCTAGTGGATCGAACTTATAAATTAACACCTAAGAAATAATGATAAATACAAGCGCATATGGTTTTCTTAACTAGATTAGAAGCACTCTAAGATCATCTTTCTGTATTTATTTCACAGCCCCATTTTGTTTGATATTTTTTGGCTGCAATAGTGAAGTGTTGTTATAGAGGATATATATATAACATAAAAATCAGTTTCGAAAATAAATATGACTTTTATAGTGAAAAAGTTGTTATATAGAGATGTTGTTATAGAGATGATTGACTGTAACACTGAGGATGCTAAAAGATACCACAATAAAATGTCTAAAATCTAACCTTATTCAAACTTACTGGGCACAAATCTTTGTGCTCCCAAAGAAGATCACTAAGCTAATTGAGGCAATATGCAGAAGTTTTTTGTGGACAGGGGAGGGCAATATCTCTAAGAAAGCATTGCTGGCATGGGAAAAAGTATGTATGCCCAAATCAGCAGAGGGTTTTCAATATTATGAGCATCACACTGTGGAACAAAGCAGCTATATGTAAACAATATTGGAACCTACACAAAGAGAAGAACAAACTATGATACATCAGAGGCAAGAACATATGGGAAGTTCAACTGAAGCAAACATCATGGATGATGAGCAAGATTATGAAAGTAAAGAAGAAATTTGAGGAAGCAGACATTAATTATGAAGACATCGGGAAGATGAACAACTATTCAATTAAGCAAATATATCACAAGCTGAGAGGAAGCTTCAGTAAAGTGAGTTGGAGAAGAGTTGTATGCAACAATGCATGTTGCCCTAGGTGGACATTTATACTAATAATGACAGCACATGACAAGTTGTATACTAAAGATAGACTGAGAAAATGGGGAATACAAATTGATCAGGAGTGTGTTCTGTGCAGACAAGCAAGTGAAAGTATTCAACACTTATTCTTTGAGTGCTCATATGCAGCTGAATTATGGGGTAATCTGCTAGCTTGGCAAGGGATAAAAAGATCAGTATATAGATGGACTGAGAAACTAGCATGGGCTGAAAAATGGATGAAGAAGAAAACTGCAAGAACTGAACTATATAAGATGACACTAGCAGCATGTGTATATTATGTGTGGCAAGAAAGAAATACCAGAATCTTTCAAGCTAAAGTAAGACGATGGGAGATACCTGGCAAGATGATTATACAGGAAATACACTGTCGAAGCAATAAGCATGTGAAAAAAGCATTAAGTAGACTGGATTGGTACCCTATATAATAGACAAAACAGTATAGCAACAGAAAGGTGGTAAGGAGNTCCTGGTAAATGAAAGTTTTAATTACCAAATAAAAACCTAACCTTATTATTCAACAAGCTATGTCAAATAATGCAGTATTTTATTGAGAATCATTTCACTACTGTAAAAAAGAATTAGACAACTAATGAATAGATAAAGCTTCTGAAAGAATTAAAAGAAAATAATGAAGACACAGAGAATTTGAAGACTAATTAACCATAGCTATGAGTCTATAACTTTGACACAAGGAAAGGATGCCTTGCATTGATATCAATTAATGGTTATCAAGTTATTTACCCTAAAGACCTAATAAATAATTTGATTGTGTAAATATTTTTTACACCATTAATGTATAAAACTTGCACTCCATCTGTAATAATCTTCTTTGCTAATCTTCTTAGGTTTAGAGGAGTTAAATTATTCTATCAGTTAATATGTTATTGATATCATTAATTAACGAGTTCTGAATGAACTATATAATGAATTATTATATCTGCATATAACCAATAAGCCGTACTTATTAGATAAAGGAAATCTAATTAATTAGATAAATGCTCGAAATATATGCATAAATTCTGATCAAAGCTCACTCTCTGTCATGCTTAAAATAAAGTGGACTACTATAATTTCAATACCAGTGATGATTATAAAATCTGAGATATTATATTTTGCTTATACTATGAAGAAATTTGCAGCTTTATATGTAGATTGTCACGCTTATCTTTATGTGTCTGTACTATGAGAAAAATAAAGTGTCATAAAATGAAAAAAAAAAATTGGAGGTGCACATCAAATCATAACCAAAGTAAAATCAGACTCCCCTCATTTTCAGAAATTGGTGCTTTATCTATTTCATCAAGATTCTTCGTAAACAATAATAATTACGCTTCAATCTGAATATTGACGTCAGCTAGTGTGAGCTTGCCAACATAAAAATAGAGGAGAGTTACGCTAGGTTAAATAGTCATCGTAAAACTTATAAATTCATGATAATATGTCAAGATCATTCTTGATAGAAAATTAACCTAGATCTTATGTAATATTGCATTCTTGAAAATTAAAGAGTAAAGGCCAGCCAAAAGAACATTTACAATAACAAAAATATATCCAGTATATTCGCACAAGTTTAGGTTTGAGAAGGATAGTGTGTACGCAGACCAAAAAAGATATCTATAGGTAGATGATTTTAACCTTATTTTCCTTCTATCAAAGCTGCATCAGCATCTAGCCACTTTCATGTACTAATTTAACCTGTGTGTACCACACACTAACAAGAAATAAATCTAATTCTGACTCAGATCTCACATCAATAAACAATCAGCACTAGAAAAGAAAGCAGCAGAAATTCTAAGAAATGGAAAGTAGAATAACCATATAATGGTAAATAAATATAGACAAAGTTTCAAAATTGTACAAATGGGTAGCTAGCCTTTTCTCCTCCCAAATTTTGCTTAGTATAGACCATCCAAAATAAGGGCAAAATGTAGGGAAAATTTTAGCCCACAAAACATTTTTCTCCCACCACAGATACGATAAGAAGCACCCCTCAATCAATACGCCAATAGAAAGTACCAGTGACATCTCTAATCTTCGAGAAAATCAAGATCGTTCTTTTTCATATAAAAGCATAAGAAAAGACCGAATCATCTTAGACCTTGACCGAGTTTTTTCTAGTACGGACCGGGCGGAGTGCTTACATGAGGGTATACGTGGTACGATTAACCGAAAATTGATGAAAGATTGGTCTGGAAGGATGCAAAACGTGATTAAGGCGTATGAAGCCAATACTGGTGAGGCATGCCACCCTAATAAACAACAGAAAAATATACTAATTTGTTTTTGGGGTTAAATTAATGAACATACCTTGAGCTGCTGCAGAATTCATAGAGTTTGCCACGAGTAGAGAAAATGATAAGAGCAACTTCAGCATCACAAAGAACAGAAAGTTCATAAGCTTTCTTGAGCAATCCATTTCTTCTCTTTGCAAAAGTCACTTGTCTATTTATTTTATTCTCAATTCTCTTCAGTTCTACTTTCCCTCTTCCCATTGTATAGCTAGCTTTCTTTTTTTGGCTTTCTGAATGAAATATAATATAAAAAATGTAACAAGATTCTATTCTAAATCAGTTGTTTTTAGTCTGGAAAACTGGTGTGTTTTGCCATAAAAGCATATGTAAGACAGTACAATTATGGATTTGGTTGTTCCCTCTTCTCCTTCTTTTCTCCTTTGCCTCTTCTTTTTCTTTCTTTTTATCTTCTAGGGTAAGGATAATAGCTGTAGTTTTATTGTGGGTCAGGTCTAAGGTTTCTTTATATACGTACAACATTGTAAGCATAGCTCTAGAAATACATGCAAAATTTAATAGTCTTAAAAAATTTATACTACTATCAGATTACATAAAAGAGTGAATATAGCAAGGGCTAGCTAGTTTTCGGACTAGTAAACGAAAAATAGCCGGTGTTTGCAAAGTCATAGAAAAATAGCCGTCGTTTTACCAAAAAATACGGAAAATTCTAGCCTTATATGCGGGATTATGGAGCTCATACGTATAAACTTTCTGCATATTATGTTGGAACTCCTGCACTCGAAAGTTCCAGCATAATATATTGGAATATGGAGCTCCTTCATATAATAAGCTTCTCGCATATTATGTTGGAACTTCACCACATTATGAAATTCCAACACATTATGATGGAAGTACATATGTAAAAAATTTGAACTCCAGCATATTATGCCAGAATATTTCTGAATTTAACAGTGTTTTTGTTTGGTTGTAAATATGACTATTTTTTATTTTTACTTCTAATTACAGAATTATTCATAATAAGTCAAATTACTAACTTATAAAGTAATGTTAATTATATGCTATAACTAGTTAAAGTACTTTAATAACATAAAATCTTTTACGATTTTAGTCAGAGGCGGATCTTGGATTTAAATTTTATGGGTTCAATTTGAAGGTTTTTAACATTGAACTCATTATATTTTTAAAGTTATGGATTTATATCTACTATTTTTGTAATTTTAATGAATTTTTATATACAAATTTTTACTCCGCATCGAAAGTTATGGATTCAGTTGAACCCGTAAGTAGTACACTACATCTGTCTCTGATTTTAGTGTATATAAGTTAAATGCACACATATATATTACTCGTAGAACTTGAAAATGTATTGGTGCTAATCCTGCAAAGTGCTTTTGCTATCTCTTCTTGTTTATATATTTAGTATATATAAGTTAAATTTATGCATACATATTAGCCTGATTAATTATGATTTGGGCCGCGTATGACTCAGTTAAGTCTCTCTTCCCAAAAAAAAAAAATCATTTCGAAAGCGCAAAGTCAAGACCTTTACATCCCGTTACATTCCTTGATAGAGAAAAAAAAGCATTATTTACTTCGCCAACAAGTCTTTTTGTTTTCTTTTAAAATTTGTTATGGCTGAGCACCTTCAAAGTTATGGTGAAAATGAAAAAACATTCTAAAGTATTTTGAGCTAATCGAAATTTATATCCCCCACTCAAAATAAGGACAAATTACAAAATTGGCCGATCGGCCATAAATAGTTATATTTGCAAGCCAAAAAATATAGTATATTATATGTATGTAATACGTATATAACAAGAAAAAAATATTTTTTATCGGCTATCATTTTTGCCCCCTCCCAAAGAAAACTCCAAATATAATGGGATATCCCATACATGTAGAGGGGAATTTATGTCTTTTGAGTCTTTCCAGTATAAATGCTCTCCACAACAGGAAAGGAAAAAAAATATTACCTCCAAAGAAGAAGGAAAAAAGTGGAAATTGAAAATTAAAAAAAGAAAGAAAAACTGTTTTTTCTTTTCTTTCTTGAGAGAGAGAGAGACAGAGAATACTCCTTTCTACGTATTATGACACAAAGAATTGGATGTCAAGTCAAATTCAAACCTTAAATATGCCAGTAGACGTGTCAAGCACTTAGGATGTAGTACTCCCTCAAAAAACAATGATTTAATATTTTTTGGACATATTCGCCCTTTTATATGTAATTCAATTTACAAACAAAAATTAAAAATTGACTTTATTAGAATACCTTTTTTTTAAAGAACGAACTTTTTGGTAGGAGATTTTTACTCCTTTAATGGGTTTATTCGGCCCGAATTAATCGAGTATATTTTAAATAATGAATATTTATAAAAAAAAACTTTATATATAGTTAATGACGGTCAATTTGAGAGAGGAGAAACCGACTCTATTCGAACCTCCTCAATAGCCTTTCCTTTGTTTAAACACTCTTTATATTTTATTGTATATTAATCTCACCTATTATGAATGGTCACGTACATGAACTTAGTTATATATTTTTCAACAACTTTATATTATAAATACTTTTTTACAAAAGCTTACACACATTATATTATAGGGATACATGTCGGCAAAAAACTCCATATGTACTTGTAAATATCTTCAAGAAATAATCATATATTTGCATAAGCTCTCATATCAATCTCTATAAACAATGATAAATTTATGTTGAACATAATAAAAATATTACACTTCTAAAAATTAGAAGCATTTTTAGTGCACAATGGATGGACTAGATTCATCATATTCTGCCTTTGCAATCCACATCTGCATTTCAAAAAACAACATAGAATTATAGTCAGTATAGTTTAATCATTATATAAGTATAGTTTAATCATTATATAACAAGTTACGAAACGAAATAGTCCTCTATCGGCTGTGTAGATGGGGTAATAGGTCTCCTTATATGGTTTCGAGCAATCCTCATCTCAAAAGTTAGTTCGTGAGATGAGAATTGCCGAGTCCGTATAAGGAGACCAATTACCTTATCTACGGCCAATATGAAACTATTTTAACAACTATAAACACAGAATATGAATGACAATAAATGTAAATGTTAATGTCAAATTCTAAATTTTCACTCACCTGTTGGAAAGTACTTAAAGAAGCCAAAATAGAACCTCCAATCCAAACACTATACCAACCAATAACTAACATATGACCATATCTCCAAAACATAAAGATGTTGAAGCTGTTGCAATCAATCAAGCAAAGTTCCAATTTCCATTTATGTGGAAACTGTGGGTAAATGTTGGACATTTGTATTCCACAATATTTCATTTACCTTTATATATACAGGGACAAATTACAATCTAACTAGAGTCCTAGAGTATCAACTGTCATTTCTAGAGCCTTCTGCAAGGAGGAATAACTTGGCATAGTCAAAAGTTAATTAAATAATACTAATATTTTCTTTATGCCAATTAATGTGTCATACTTTTTTTTAATTTGTCTCGAAAAGAATGTCATATTTTTTTATTTAAAAAGAATTTGATTTTATATTTTCTACTTTACCCTTAATGAAATGATTTATAGTTACACAATATTTATCGGTTGTTTTAGATCATAAGTTTTAAAAATCTTACTTTATTTCTTAAACTCCGAACCGATCGAGTCAAATACCGTCACATAAATTGGGACGGAAGGAGTGATATTTTTGGGGAACATGAAATGCATTTCAGCTACAAACTCTTTCCCATTCCTCTTCTTACCAAACCTTGGCACATACTATAAACATTTTGAGTGCAGCTTTTGGGGACAAGTTTCAAATTGAAATTTGGTAATGGAATATGTTTAGCAAGTTACGTGCATGATTAGACGTTTAATTTCTCAGTCTATATATCTTTCAGTTTTTGAGTTCCATAAAACTGAATCACTTCCAAAGAAACTATACAATGAATCAAACTCTTAAATTACAACAGGCCTGCAGTTCCTTCTTCCTTAAAATAAATACTCATTTATTGGTTTAGGGCTAAACTTGTAAATTAAATCTTGGAAAAAGCAAATGAATTAGGTCCCCCATCCATTTCTTCTTAACATGTATCCATTGTTTTGGAGTTGGACAGAATATAGAGTTGCCGACATAAAAGATGAGAAATGGATAGTTCTATTCTCTCGTTCTCCTGTGTTGTCACTCTTCGTGTCCCAAGAAGCTTGGGAGAGCATTTTTATAGGAAAAGAAGATGATAAGTTTCTAGTACATATAAATTCAAATAGAAAAATTTCCATCGAAAAATGTCATGGAATGGACGAGACTTCTCTATCCTTGATCAGAGGTCACGGATTTGCGAGTTCGCTCCTGAAAATAAGAAATCCCAGGAAGGAAGTGGTTCTCCTTTTAATACGCTTTATGCAATACAACAACAATAATAAAAAAACTCACTACAATCCTACAAGTAGGGTTTGGGGAGGGTAGAGTGTAAGTAGACCTTACCCCTAATTAGAAGGTAGAGAGGAAAAGGATAATCCAGTGCACAAAACATCCGGCGTTTACGCAGGGTCCGGAGAAGGGCATATTCCAAGGGGATGTGATGGAGGCAACCTATCCTGATGCAAGTATTAGTGACTAATTTCACGGTGTGAACCCGTGACCTATAGGTTACACGGAGACAATACGCCTTATACAATGGATTAGTCGGGTCAATGAGTACAACATTCCAAATGATTGTACCAAAAATTTGTAAATCCAAAACTTATTAAATTAAGAATATTGCATTTTTCTTAATGTTCTTGCCTTAGGAACATAATTAAGAATAGTTACTTTTAGTAGTGGAAGAATCTCAAATATATTCGTGCTAAAATTTGACCAGAATTTTGAGCTTATTGAGCACAATTGTGTGTAAACTTGTTACACTAAGAAGAAAGAAAAGAAAAGGTCCAACAGCAACAAGATAATAATATACTGCACTTGCTAGAACTTTAGCATGCAAACTAAGATTTTAGTCAAAAGTATATTTGTACCTTAATCATTCAAGATTATCAACAATTCAACATAGTTCGTATTCTTTTTGTCGCAAATTGACAACTTTCATCTTGTTCTTACTACCAAAGATAAAGTCTTTTCAATTATGTACTCAACTTCCTCTCCCGAGGATTACTGACACTTTACTTATAGCATGGACATGTTTCTTTTTGGTCCAAAGTATTTTTTTTAAGTTAAGATGTTTGGCGAAATTTTTAAAAGAAAAAATATATTTTTG